TACCCTAGACAATCCCCTGTTTTGAGCCAAGAAAAACTTTCACATCGCAGCTGAACACGACCCTAACTTTCATGCAGTCTATAGATGATTTCGCAATACGTGTTCTGAAGGCTCCGAAGTGGCTGGCTGGCAGATGATAAGCTCCCGGCACCATCTCCGATCGCGCGAAAGCAGTGCTTGGCAACCGGGCCGGGTTCTGGCGTGCCAGGGAGGAGTTTGGACTATTTCGGGATGGGGGGTCTGCGTATAGGCACTGCATGACACCGACATGTGCAGATTTGCGTGCACTTGCGAAGCTGTATGGATTTGTTTTTCTGCATCGGAGATCGCACAACTCAGCCAAACGTAGCTGGCCCCAGGTTCATGGTGTGAGATCCTGAACTTTCCCCGACAGGACCCCGCTAAAACCCCGGGGTTTACCACAAAAGGGACTCGGATCGAGTCTTCTGGGTGCCAGACCATGACCTGACCGCACCACCAAGGACAACGAGAGCTGGCATCGAAAATCACATGAAGCTGGGGAGGCCCGGGCCATGCTTCCAGCTTCCTGACATGACTTGCATGGTAGGCCTGGCTCCTGAAGTACAAACAACTGCACAATCTAGCAACACGTGCGGCTACGAAGATACGAAGATACCCAGGGCTTCTAGGATTTGTAGTGTTGGAGGTTTAGCACGTATCACATTAAGATGGAGCTAGGACTAGCAGGGTTTGTATATCGGGTTCAAGGCCATGGGGTTTCTATAGGTTTTTTGGGATGCAAGTCATGCAAGGCAGCTGCCTACTTCGATTTGGTGGGAGCCCTCGCCGCCTTGGCTTTAGCCTTGGCCTTAGGGGCTCGCTGTCTCGATGCATTCTGGTTCGTTGCAGGCAGTCCAGCTCCACTGGGCGCAGCAGAACTCTTGCCATAGTACTTCTTAGCATTCCTCAGTCGAGCCCCGGCAAGTGTGAACAAACAACGACGAAACATCCGAACCACTGTCCTGCTCTGCCGAGGTGCCTCACTTGCAACTCGGAGGCGGTGGCACGGCTGGCCCTGAACAGGGACATATCAAAGAGTTATTTCGTAGATCGTGGATAGAGATGCATGAGGACCCGGCACCATTGTAGCATCTTTCATCTTCTTCTCCAGGGACGTCCACCAACTGTGGCAGTGCGAGGGGACACGTAGGGAGGGAAACGGTTTCGGTGCGAAAGCCGAGATGTGTGTATGTGTGTGAGATGTCGAAACCTAGATAGGCCAGTACGTAGGCTTGAATGTGCATGGCAGAAAGGATCCAGGTATCTAGATTTCACAAAAGCAATTGAAGAAGCTAGTCTGGCCTCGCAGTGTGGCCGTCGACCTCCCCTTTAGCCTTGGCATCATTGACCTTCTCATACTCGGAGTCCAGCTTCTTGATGTGATCCTCGAGGGTCTTGATCGACCTGGATACATAACATGTTTTGGGATGGCTATGTTGCGTTGTTGGTAGAAGCCGATCTGAGGAATCTACGCATCAGCATCCGTGCCATAATTGGTACGGAGGTCCTTCAGCAGCTGTCGCAGCTTGCTGCTCTTGTTGAGGAGGGATTCGAGGAAGCGGTCGGCAGCGGATTTTTGCTGGCAGGGCAACAGGGAAGTCCAAGCATCGCACACTCGCAATCGTAGGACAAAGCAACAAACACGAGTACATTAAGAACACCACACCCACAAACTACCCCCAGCAAACACTACGACCAGCAGTGGACCAGCCGCACCAGCCTACAGCACTACAAGCACGGCACCCGCGGCCCCAGCAGAAGCACAAACAACGGCA